TTGAGCAGTGTTCGCTGGATTATCCTGTTGAAACTGGAGCATCAATTGACCCTCATATTGATGACTGCTGGATTTGGGGGGAACGTATACCTACAGTGAGCTTACTGGTTGACTCGGTACTTACACTAAGAAAGTACAGAGGACCTGAAACAAAATATAACTTAATGGATACTTATAAGTATCCTGCTGTTATGAAAGCAAATGAAGTGAAAAATGAAGAAGAACTTAAACAAGAATTCCATGAGCTCTGTCAAAATAAGGCTGTTACAAAGATTGAAGAAAATGCGAAAGAAGCAGAGGCCTCCCCAGAATTAGATGCAGGTCCAAATATAGTACGCCTGCCCATGCCTCAGCGTTCTCTTATAATTTTCTTTGGTCCCCCACGCTATAAATGGGAGCATGGCATTCTGCGAGAAGATATTCCATCACGTAGAGTTTGTATAACATATAGGGAGCTCACACCTCCATATCTCCCATTTGGGTCCGAATCAAAAACTGGAGCAGAAATACTAAAAGCAAGTAAAAATTTCTGGGATCATTACCAGTATTATGGTATCACTTGTTCAAGCTGATGTTTGAGGTTTACAATTACTCAAAATGTGATACTCTTCTATTTTTCTAAAAGAAAAAAAATCTGTTAAATGAAAAAGGCTGAACAGTGTGTAAATTTTTAGAGAGGACTTATTGCTACTGTACTATTTTAATTCTAAATGTCAGCCATTCAGAGCCAATTTACATTTTTTGAAAATTCTTTTCAAACAATTGCATGCTAAATAATTACTTGATTGTTTATTGTTGCTTTGTCTTATAGTTGATATTTATTTCCACTGATTCTGTGTTGAAGATTACTTGTAATTTAATATGAATCTTATTGAAATGCAAAAATATTTTTAGCAAATGTAAAACATATATTTTTATTTATATATCTTGTAATATCAGATTTTGTTAATTGCATAAGAATTACATAATTTACTAGGTGTGGATAATGTGCAAAACTATATAACATGGCGATTTACTTAACCTTCAGTTTTAACTCCAGGGTTTTCAGTTATGTCATATGAAAGTTTTTAGTTTCTGATTTAACCAAGTTTGTTTATATATAGATATCTAAGTATATGTGTGCGGGTGTAGATAGGTGGGTGGTTGTGTGTGGGATGGATGGGGTTGTTTGTGTAGGCCCTCGTCTCAACCAATTTTGCATGGTCTTTTCGTCTCCCCCCTTTCCTTCTGTCCACTTCCTAAGATATAAGGGCTGTGTTAAAAGGATAAAAGGCTGGCTTAGGTCAGTCCTGAATGGCCTCATGGAGCCATGGGCACAGTATTCCCATTAAGTTAGCAAGCTTTAACCTTGTATGTGAGGATTCTGAGGGGTGAATCATTTTTCTTCCCCAGATAATCTAGCATTATGGCCAATAATGATTTTATACCTTTGTTAGGGGCATTGAAGCTTTCCGCTTTATCAACTAGCCCACTGACTTTGATTTTTCTGGTTCCCCAACCCCTGGCTCTCCTTTGATCATGAGTGAACATGAGTTCCCCCCTGAAACCTGCTGTCATCTCAGTCCACTCCATAGCACCTACCCGGGTCATTACCCAAAATTCAGAGATATTGGAATGTGTGTGGGTAGTCAAGCGCTTCCTGGCAGTCTTAATCCCTTGCCAATCATCTTTGCTCAGGGCCTGAGTATTTAGGGAGCATACCTGTTGAAGATGCAAGAAAAACTTGTCCAAACTTTACAATTTATGGAAGATCATGGTCTTTTGCAACCTCAGCTCTAAACATTTGAAAAAAAAACTCACTCTCACATGTATGTAGACAAAGGGTAACTGAAATTAAATATGGTTTTGTATATTTTATTATATATACTACAATTAATATGAAATATAACTTTGGATTCTAGAAATAACTAACTTAAGAATCTCTTTCCACTGACTTGATGTGATTTTCAACTAATAACATTTAACCCAAATTAAAAGGCAATACTGATCTCTGCAGGCATAATTTATTAAACAAAGGGAAGTAACTTGTTTATATCAGTTGTTACATTTTCTTCTAAATTGAATTATGAAATGGAGACTTACAAACCGTAACATAATCACTCATACTAAAGCAAAATATATAAGCTAACTGTGCCAACAAAAATATACAAGAATAGAAAAGTAAGTCAGAAAATGCATATGTCATCATACCTCAATCCCTGCCCTCCCATACTATACATTCCAAATATTTTGATAATCTCTGACAGCTAAAGGATCATGGCCAACCATCCAATAATCAGTAACATTCCTCCATACGGTGTATACTGCCGAACATTCTTTGATCCTGTCAATGCATAGTAATAGCATGTTCCACAGAAGATTGCTGTGCCAGCCACAATCAAACTTCCAGCCTGTTGGAGGATAATGAGATTTTGTGATAAAAAAAAATGTAAAAATATGCTTTCTTCATATGCTCACAAATGCACTGACATTTCAAGATTTCTTAAAATATCAAGAAATC